AAATTTCGATCCTCAATAAATTATTAAATGTGACAATTAAGTATCACCATTTTTTAACCCCCGTAGTCCCATCACTGCTTGTATTATTGTCGTGTTAGTACTAAAGCATTATATATCACATTATATATCACATTTTATATTACATGAAATGATGGTATTTGTTGATGGTACAAAAAGAAGTCATTGCATAGAAACACTGTTCTGCACAAATAGCATTGACCTGACATGATGCCTAACATGAGAGAAACCCCAATTTTTATTTAAACGATTGTTGTGGAAACGATGAGACTAAAAAAAATGTTCAACGATTCTCATTTTCAATTTTGAGATCGGCTTTTAAAAAAGATTGATCATAACATTTGCTATTAAAAAGAATTTAACCAAAATTTTCAACATCGCGCTAAATTTCAAAAAAAAAAAAATTGCCGCACATTCCAGAAAAAACCTTTTTTATATGTATAATAAATAGAAATAAAAATAATATTTAAATAAATATTTAAGATAAAACCCCTATTTTTAAAGAAAATCTCAAATATCTTGTAGTTAGACCTTAATAAAGTACGACCACACTATTTTTAATCCTAGTCATTACAAATCATATAAAACTTAACCTTTATATAGTTACAAAACTTTTATAATCACCAAAATTTTGTTTTCCAATCTGGTGTTTATCCCTACTTTTTTCTTAAATTTTGGATGATAAAGAATGAATACAATGTCCGTTACTACAGGATACTAACACCCCACTACAATTGGAATAGGTATCACATTTACAAGCCCAATGTGTTCGATCCGAAGTTACTGTTTTGTCACAATTGTTTGATAAACAATCGTTATTGTTATGGCAACCATAAACGCAAGTATTTTGACCTGGATTTGTATTAGCACACACCCATCCCATTCCTTCGCTGCCTTTACAAAAAGCATCAGCTATTTCATTTTGTGTAGTATTTCCGCCACCAGCATTACATTCCAATGCAAAACTATTATGCATAAAAGAGAAGACAAGAAGTAGCATCAGCAATTGCAAATGATGCATGTTGATACTATATGAAGTAAAAATAAAACAAAAATTATTGTTGAATTCATAAATTATACAAATGGTGATATTATATATAACAAAAATACTATAAATATGTATGTATCGTTCGATTTATAAATCAAATGATCATGGAATCATTCGATCAACAACAAATCTCATGATATAAGGTAGACATGCCATATTTGTAATCGATTATGTAATAAAACTATATTTATTATACGTACTCATTTCATTTAACAAGCATCACACAACGTAACATTTAATCATGTAAGTTGTCATACATCATCACATTTTATCAAATTCTAATACTTACAACTAATACATGCTAAAATGTCACGTTGTGTGATGTTTGTTAAATGAAATGAGTACGTATAATAAATATAGTTTTATTTATGTACATTTTATTAATTGCATAATCGTTAAATATCGATTGATATGTAAAATATTTTATCCCTGGCCAACCCCATCCACATGACTTTCTTCATGTACTTATTTCTACTAGTAGTACCCTAGTGACCCGAGCGAAACGGCGAGTCTAGTGTTGTTAGGCGAAACTATTTTTGGTAAATGGCGAAAGTCGAAACTGGCGAAACTCCGGCGAAACGTCGAAAC